CCCCCACACACACACACACACACACCATCCACAATTTTAAAACTAAAAATGCCCAAATCGTTGGATTCACTAAAAAAACAATGTAGTTAGTAAGCATAAACCCTTTTGAGATTGCTTAAGAATTTTACTCAATAATTTCATTTCAGGATTTTTCGGACTCTGGCTTTCAAAACACTCAGCAAATTGTGCAGAATATAGATGTTCCTTTGTGCGTAGATGTTACAGTAACCAATGCAGGCGGGAATAATAGCCATAATCAAGCTATAAGCCTTACTGAGAGTTCTGGGTTGAGTAATGCGGCTATAATGCCTTCGCTGCCCGTAGGCGCGGGAAGTTTAAACAATATGTCTGTGACAAATGCCAATACTACTGCTTCTTCAATATCGTCTTCGTCAGTTGGCGATTATTATGATATGAATGATCGCTTACGGTTTCATACTCGTTGTGGTTCTTTGGTTAAATTATCGCCAAATTGTCGCTCAGCTGAGAGACGCCGTCCATTGGATGAATTTAATAACGGTGTTGTAATGACTCATCGTCCTCTCAAGGACAACGAATTATTCGAAATACGTATTGATAAATTAGTAGATAAATGGTCCGGCTCAATTGAAGTGGGCGTCACAACCCACAATCCGTCTGTTTTGCATTTTCCCGCCACGATGACTAATATGCGCTCCGGCACCATTATGATGTCTGGATGCGGCATTTTAACAAACGGCAAGGGCACCCGTCGCCAGTACGGCGAATTTAATTTGGATGAATTACGGGAGGGTGATCGCGTCGGTATGATGCGCAAATTGAACGGCAATCTCCATTATTATATAAATGGCCAAGATCAAGGAGTTGCTGCTACACGTGTAGCCCCCACGCTATGGGGTGTTATAGATTTGTACGGAATGACCATAAAAGTTACAATTGTAGATCGTGATGAGCGGGAGCAACAGAATTTGGTTATACGCCGTAACAATCTTATATCATCAGCAGCTATGATCGGCGGTTTACAGGGTGTGAATAATAGTCCTATAAATGGTAGTGGTAATTCAGCCGTTCCTACGCCTGTTTTGAGTTTATTAAGTCCAGAAAGCGAAGTGGCTGCCATGGCAGATTCGGCGTTGACTGCAACGGCAGCCAATCCACGTAATGATGATCGTTTAACATTCCATCCACTATGTGGATCACATGCAACAGTAACGCATTCGGGCAGGACCGCTTTAAGGCCAAAGTAGGCGATATGTATGATACAATGACTTTAAATTATGCTCTGTTTTCCAGTGCTTCCGATGACTTCAACAATGGTGTAATATTGACACGTCGCCCTTTGAGGCCAAATGAGTTATTTCAAGTCCGTTTGGAAAGAGTCGTTACCAAATGGGCGGGGTCCGTGGAGATAGGGGTGACCATATATAGCGCGGAAGAATTAGATTTTCCATTCACTATGACTAATGTCAGGTAGGTTAACAATCACTTTCTAAAATTTCAAGGAATATTAATTGTAAAGTGTTGCAGATCCGGCACATGGATGATGACAGGCAATGGCGTCATGCATAACGGCATAACAGTTATTGAGCAGTATGGCGAAAATCTAGATCGTTTACAGGTGGGCGATCGCGTTGGCGTGGTACGGAAGGATACCGGTACCTTGCATTTCTGGGTTAACGGAGTGGATCAAGGTCCATCGGCAACGAATGTTCCTGAAAAAGTTTACGGTGTAATTGATTTGTATGGCCAAGCAGCGCAGGCTTCAATTATTGATACCTCGGAATGCGGCAGCCCTGATACGGGTAATTCGACCATTTCCAACACCACTTTGTATAGTGAAACTCCTCTCAGATTTCATGCTATACATGGTAAAAATGCCAGTATTTCCAATGGTGGCTTAACCGCCTCGCGGCCAAATTCTTTGGCTGAATTTAATGACGCCATAGTATTCAGTAATCGCCCGTTGAGGCAGCGTGAACTATTTGAAGTAGTGTTGGAGACAATGGTACGTCATTGGTCGGGAAACATAGAGATTGGAGTGACTGGAACTAGACCGGATGATATACAATTAGCCGCCAATGCTACTGAAATGGATGCCATGGACACCATCATATTATGTGGGCCGATGATTTTCCACAATCGTAAAAAAATTCGTTCCAATGTTTTAATCGACTTGGATACTTTGGGTTCTGGGACTAAAGTGGGAGTAATGCGTAACGGAGATTTTATACACTTTTTTATAGATAGCGTAGATCAGGGGCCGGCTTGTGAGTGTCACTCACCTTCAGTATGGGCAGTTATTGACTTGTACGGACAGTGTGCTCAAGTATCTTTGACACAAAGTTCAAATAACGATATGCGTGCTCCTTATGCCACCAGCGAAAATTCGCAAAGCTGTCAAGCCACATCTGTTATACAACCAGCAACTTTGGAAACGAAACATCGCTGGACTTGCATATCAGGCAATGTAACGTTATCACAGAACTGGACACTGGCGTCACGTCTGACCGGAAGTTCAGCGGCTTTATCACGCTGTGTTGTTTTTTCTGAGCATCCGTTAAGTGTAGGTTCACCATTTGAAATAAAAATGGTGACACATAATCCATTGTTCGCAGGTAAGTAGTAAGAAACTTGTTTAAAAATTCGAAGATATTATTTATTAAATTGGACCTCTTCAGGATGTTTAAATATAGGTATCACTGACCTCAATTTATCCGACGATAATGTTCGCAAAAATATACCGCTCAGTATTAAAAGGATACCAGCCAACGTTTGGTATGTAACGAGCAACGAGGTGCGCTATAACTCCCAATTGTTACAGCGTGCTGCGGCATCTCTAGAATGGCTAAGAGTAGGCGATCGCATAGCGTTGGAACTGACACCGGCCCGAACATTGCGGATACTGTTAAACTCTGAAGATATGAATATTCAATTTCATAATGTACCAAACGTGAGTATACATAGCGCGCAGAATTTTTGTGTTTATTCTTGTTATACAAATTTAATTTTAGGATGTTTATGCCGTAGTAGAACTGCAGGGTTCTACCATGGGCGTTCAAGTAACCTCTTCGCAAGGTCCCACTTCACCTTTAAGGCCGTGTAGTTTACGATTGCAAGATTCTTTGGAATTTGGAGCTGATCCTTTAAATAAACAAGATTCCATGTTAGAATCAATTGACTCAGAGGGTCTCAACTATGAATTTTCAGAAATTTGCGGTAAAAATGTAAAACTTTTGGAAGAGAACCGCTCCGCAATGCGTATACAATCTTACAACCAGGGTTTGGTTTACGTGACAAAACCTTTATGCAAAGGCGAGAGTATAAGTGTAGGTAAATTTGAGACGATTTTTAAAATAAGGTTTAATTGATTTTTATATTTTAATTAGATTAAAGTTGATTCGATAAATTGTAAATGGAAGGGTAACATAGGGCTTGGTGTAGTGAGCATTAGTCCTTCTCAATTAACAAATGCTCTTGCTTTATCCTCGTCTATTGTGCATTCCAAACGTCCCTGTTGGGTAGCAGTTGATGACGCCATTAACATAAATGGTCAGATAATCCCTTCAAAGTATGGAGAAGCGCTGGAAAATATACAGGCGGGTACTGTTATAACGATGACTCTGACACATGCGGGCGTTTTAAGTAAGTCATTACGTTCTTTTTAAGGGTTTCTTTTTAAAAGTTTCCTCAAAATATATGAATTGCTCATATTTTCTTGCACCATAATTAACTAAAAGATGTAATAGCAACTAAAAAAAGTTGCAGAGAAATTTTTGGAAATATTAAGAAGAGTTATATTAAAAAATTTTTGGATGATGCGTGTCTTCAAAAAAGAATTTAAATATTATCTGGACTTTTTCCACATATACCCTAGTTATCACCATTGGTTCAAATAACCTTCAAGATCTTGCCACTGGTCTTCCAAATCATGTTTATCCTGTTTTCGATCTTTATGGTAAATGTGAACGAATTACTATTCTGACGGGCACTGATGCCGGGCGGAATGGTACCCCTATTATAGAAGAACCTTCTGCATTAGAACATGATTCTCTAAATGATCAAGATTCGAACGTTCCGCAATGCGAAAAAGCTGACTTAGAAGTCCATGAGAAGGAAACAGAATCACAACCCAGCAGTTCGAATGTCGCCACTGCGTCAATTCCTGCTTCTGCTTCCTCTATGTAAGTTTGTCAATAAATTAACTGCAAAGTAAGAAGAAAAAAAATAACTAAATAAAATTTCTTTTTCTTCCCTTAACCGCATTAGGAATCGTTCGGTTTTAGAAAGTGTTTCGGAAAATTTACTATTAAATTTATCGATAAAAAATCGCACGTTGGAACAAAATTTCTCGGAGCCCAGTACCTCAAGATCAGCATGGTAAGCTATAAGTTTTTACTTAAAGAAATTTCTGATTACTTGAAATACTCCAGTTGCTTGCGAGAATCTCTCCAACTACAGCACAATACAAATCTGAATATACAGCGCAGTCAGGGAAGTCAACGTTTCCGCAGTGCTTTGATGGCGTATGCTCTATCCCCAGCTCCTGATAATCAAGCATTGGCAACTTTAGAGGAGCCGCCAAAGTCAGAAACGGAAAACAAGCAGTTATTGCGAGAATTTTTTGAAAACAATCAAGCAGCTGATGGTTATTTTGATGATGAGGCAATTGATGCTAATGAAGCCAACGGTGCTAGTGATGACGTTGGAGAGGATGCGTCGTTGCTAAACAATAATAATCCTGATGTGGATAGTTATGAAGAGGATGGAGCTGTTGGAGGCATTTCATTACATGATGAACTAGTGGCTAACGAGGCTAAGGATCCCGCCAACGACAATGAAGAAACAAATTTAGCTTTGCAACAACAGCAGCAGCAACAACAACAACAGCAGCAGCAGCAGCAACAACAACAACAACAACAACAACAACAGAACCAACAGCAACACCAACAGCAAGAAAATCGTGATGTGATAATTGTAGCTGATGAAGAGAATGCCTTGCAAAATAATATTACTGTGGAAGAGGGAGGAGATTCTAGTGAGTCTGACACCGACGGTCTGGAGAGCAATATGGATCTGTATGCTGATCGTTTAGTACAACTTCTTGAGTTACAACGTCGGCAAGACCTTGAAGGAATACGTTTTACTCAATTTTGTAGCGAGGGCGTTTCTTCTTCAGCGTCATCCATATCCAATCATTTTGATTCGCTGCAATCGATAGCATCCATTGAACGAAAAGATTGTGAATATCTTAAGCTGGTGCAACAATTTCGTTTGTCTCTTCTTTTGCCCGACACTTTTTTTCGACCTCATCATGAGCCTATTTGCTTCTGTGCTCATTGCAACGCTCAAGCCTCTGAGAAACTGCATGGCTGGGTTTATTTTAAATTAAATCAACAGACTGTAAATTCGAATATCGCTGCCGTGTCCCAAAATACTTTTGATAGCGATAATTTGCACGATGACTGGTTACCTTTGTACTACATGACTCGTGTTGATAAAATACGTTCTATACTTGATCGCGGCCAACCATTACCTATGGACTCAGCGAGCGATACGCATTCTCATGGAGGTGGTGGGAACCAAAAAGATGAACCTGGCGCACGCTTAGAATTGCATTTTACCCCAAATTCAGCGGCCGTAATTCCAATCAATGGTCAATACAAATACTTAAGGAATGGATATTTTTATACAATTAACACCGCTTTTGAGGTATACGTTAGGCGTCAGTCATTGTGTTCCGCTGGAAAGAGTAAAAACTCCGGTCGAACAAAGTCGCAGACGATTGAACGACGCGCCTCTACAAGTGAAGTAGATGTGGCTTCTGCTTCCCCTGCTCCGAGCAATCATTGTCAAGATCTAGGAGTGGGCCCATCGTCGACTTCTTCCCTAAATTCAAATGTTGCATGTGGCGGCGTTCACGATCAAACTTTCTTCACAAAAGAGGCTGGAGCATGTATTATAACAGCATTAATACTCAAGCTGGATAAGCCCCATTCGGCAGCCAATAAAACCTATTAAATTCATTTCTATCCTCATTTTACTTTGATATTTTCATATAATCTTAGATGTATATGTAGCACGATTTTCTAAAAAAAAATCTGTCGAGAAAAACTAGTCATTATCCAAAAATTTATCATTAGCCTTTTATTGTCTTGCTTCCAAAGAATTGGCCATTGAAATTCATTCTAAAGAGTACACAATTGTTTTTCTATTTTTTTAACATTTTTTATGATACGTACTCTGGGATCTACCTATTAATATACCTTTTGTTTTGCTTTATGTATTTTACAAAATATATTTAATAAGAGTTTTGAGAAACGCGAATTGATGTCGCATCGTTTCTTTTACAAAGAGGGAGGTTTAAAAATGTCACGACCCAGTCTATGGTTCTCAATAACGGGAAAAGCTCGATCATAATTTAAAAAAAAAAATTGCGAAAGCAATTTTCATTCGCTAGAAACAAAAATGCATACTTTGTTGATAACTATAAAGTCTCTACTCGCTCACAGCTATCGAGTTAACTCGATCGAGTTTATCAAGATTCTCATCGCTTGAGCAGATATCCGTAGGCTTATGATGTAGCAATTCAAAAGAAACATTCACGATATATCAATAGAGTCACTCGTACATTTATCTTAATTAATAAATTTCGCCGCAAACTCCCTTCATCTGAAAAGTGACCGCCGATCATCGAAACCAATTATATTTGAAAGCATATTTCGAACAACACGATAGTCTTAGCATTGGGGGTCTCAATACTTTTTAAAGGATCTATTGCGTTTGTCCTCCTTAAAGTAAATAAAGTTAATTTAAAAAATGCGCACAAAAAAGCTTATATATGTTCTGCAATAGTTTCGAAATCCTGTCTATTACAACTGTAGAGATTATCGTTATTAATTTTTAAATAATAAACCGTTGAATTATTGTTCATGTGTTTGTGTCTTCAGGCATACAAAGCAGTGCCTTTGTACACCAGTATGTTTACCCATTTATTAACAATATTTACATTTCATTAAATAATGCATGCATGTCCTATAATTAAGAATAATTCCCAAATAACTGAAAAACGGTCACGGTGTTAGTTGATAAATGTAGTTCGCAGATAGCACAGCAAAAGATAGAAATTAATGAAAAAAGACAATTAGACATTAAAGAAAATATGAAGCATGAAAATGAAGGGCATCGAATTAATGTTGGCGGCTTTATGTTTAAGTTGCGATTTTAATGCTGATGATTATCCAAGTGGCGTTTTAGTTATGGACGAAACTTACTTTACAAACGGTTCAGATGCGGAAGATGGGAAAGTTTTAACGAAAGCAAAAGAGATCGTATCATCTGATAAAGAGGTACAATTGGAAAAACTACGGAACTGGATAAATGGGCGTGAATTGCAAATAGCTACTTTAGAAGACTATCCACTAAGTTATACCGAAGTGCTGGGAAATGGTACGCGTGTGGGCTCAGGAGTAGCTTTCGAGTTAATTGATTTTCTAAAAGAGAAATTTAATTTCACCTATAAGGTAGTGGTGCCTGGCTTCAACATTATTGGAGGCACGGTCGACTATACAAACAGTTTAATCGAATTGCTTAATGGATCTGTAAGTTTTTAATGAACACGTTTTCTCTCTATTATTTTTTTATTATTATTATTATTATTATTATTATTATTAATCAAATGTTTTCAATATGCTCAGCAAGTTCACATGGCGGCAGCATTCCTGCCCTTGTTATCTGATCAACGTGGTTACATTTTCTATTCTACGGTCATCTTAGACGAAGGTGAATGGATTATGGTTATGCAAAGGCCGCATGAGTCAGCGTCGGGTTCGGGTCTTTTAGCTCCATTTGATTACAGAGTGTGGACGCTTATTCTAGTGTCCTTCTTAGCAGTCGGTCCAATCATATATATTCTAATAATTTTGCGTAATCGTTTAACAGGCGACACTGAACAGAAGCCCTATTCATTGGGACATTACGTTTGGTTTGTGTACGGTGCTCTATTAAAACAGGGTAGCGTTCTATCACCAATAGCTGGTGAGTAATACATATTTATTGTGCTTGCCTTTTATACTCTCACAATCATATTTCGAAGTTTTTCTGCGTCTGAACTATAGAATAATCATATACAGCGTGTGTTTAATTTTTTTTTTTTTTTTTAAATAATTATTAAAATTACATGTTGCTACAGTGTAACTAGAGCGTTCAGGACGTTTTTATTAAATTAAATTATAATAAGCAAATTGAAGCGAAAATCAACCTATTAAGTGAAATGATTTAATTAATGCACTTAAATATGTTTTTGTGCGTTGATGCGGTTCCTAACGCACAACAAAACAGGTTGGAGTGCAGCTACAAAAAGTCATTTTCGCACCTCAATTAAAAAGTATTTTTTTAATGTGGTAAATATGTGGTAAAAATGCGCATAAGCGCATAAAAAAGATCGTACAAAAACAGGTTTGAGTGTATTTTTTTTAATTTTTTTTTTTTTTTGTATTTTTCCTCTCTTTTGTCAATTTACTTGCAGACTCCACTCGGTTGTTATTCGCTACTTGGTGGATATTTATTACGATTCTAACCTCATTTTATACCGCTAATCTAACAGCGTTTCTTACTTTATCTCAATTCACCTTACCTTTCAATACTGTTGATGATATTTTATATAAAAATAAATATTTTGTAACGGTTCGTGGTGGCGGCGTCGAGTATGCCATTAAAACGGTAAATTTTTATTAATATTTTCGCCTATCATCCGGAAAATATAGAGGAAATCTGAAAATTTTCCCCATCATAATTATAGGTAAACGAAAGTCTATACATGCTGCATTACATGGCTGAAAATGATCGTGCAGTTTTTTCGCTGGATATCAATGATACTACGAATTTACGTACATATGTCGAGGAGCAGGGATTTGTGTTTATTCGCGATCGTCCCGCTATTACACACACTCTTTATACGGACTATCGTCAACGACGAGCGACTAGCATGAATGATGAGAAGGTGCACTGTCCTTTTGCTCAGGCCAAACATCCAATTCTAAAGAAGAAACGGTCGTTTGCTTATCCGATCGGCAGTAACTTAAGCCATCTATTTGATCGGGAGTAAGTACTTTTTGAATTGTTAAAGAGTTTATACCGTTTTGTGGGTTAACAATTTCGCCAAAGAGACCCAAGTGTCATTCAGTTACTTAAATGAAAACATATTTTGTCATTCGAACTTTAACAAGCAGACATAGTTGCTGTCTTTTCGTCGATTGCTTGCAATGTATTGTTGTCATTTGTTTATTTATTTATTTATTAAACTTGTTTAATGTGTTATTTTAATAGCTTGAAAATTTCAAAAAAAAATACCAGAAAATAAATCACGTCATAGTCTCGGATTGTGTATCTGGGGGGGGGGGGGGGCCCGATTAGTCTGAGATTGTAATTTGATCTGTCTTTTCTTGGCAATCTGTAGATCGCCAGAAATCGGTATTTGCGAGAGCTTCGTCGAAGGAAAGTGCACTGTTCTCGACTTTGCAGAAATGTATTGAAAAGCCTTCCATTTCGAAATATATACTTGTTGGTACATTTTTATGCACAATATCGTGTTGCGTCCGAGAATGTTGACATAATTATTGAGTTTGTAACATGTAAATAATATACCACAATAATCCGAATATTAAACAAGACGTGGATTCGGTATTGACAAGAAAATACCACAAAGGCAGTCCTGATCGCCAAATTGATACAAGTAATGAGGAAATTTTTAGCTTATTAAGGCTGTGGTGAAGTTTTTTCTAAGACAAAAATAATCCCTTATTTTTTATTAATAATGTTTATTCACTTCCTCATATTTAATGTTTGTTATTTTATGCTTAACGCAGGTTATTAAATCTTGTGGAATCGGGAATTATCAAGTATTTGGCAGTCAAGAACTTGCCGAATGCAGAAATATGTCCACAGAACTTGGGTAGCACTGAACGGCAATTGCGTAACGGAGATCTAATTATGACATACTATATAACGATGGTTGGTTTCATCGTTTCTCTTGTCATTTTCATCAGCGAACTGCTATTCCGCTGTATTAATCAATTGTGGACGCGAAATAATGTCAACGATGCAGTCGCAAAGCAAAAAGCAAGTGTTAGTAAAGGTTATAACCAAGGCCTGATTTTGACAATGAAAGCAACACCTCCTCCGCCTTATCAAAGTATATTTACTGGAGGTATTGAACGAAATGCTGGAAATAAATGGAAGCATGTATTCGGTTCAAAAACTCGACAGTTATCCCGTGAATATCCCGGTTTTATTAGCACAACTGGTCTTACAACCGGTTCGCATGGTATACGACGTATAATCAATGGCCGGGAATATATGATGTACCAGGCACCCAACGGCGAAACGCAATTAATACCTGTAAGAGCGCCCTCGGCCACTTTGTTTCAATACACTTATGTAGATTAAATGGCACGAAATCTTCATTGTGTTATCTTCATTCTTGGTCATGAATGAAATGTAACCAAGATCTACAAAATACGATTCCACTCCATTACAGCTTACTCAACTGCTTTAGATCATGCTTTTCGATGTATGCAGAGTGAGGTTGATAAAAATATAAATAAAACATACTTTAGTCTATTATACAACGTTGCAGTGTTTTCGTGTAAAATTAATCTAAATTCGATTAGCAGTCGAATTATATGGACTCATCGAAATAAATCTTGTGCTAAATATTATGGCTAAACTATTAAAAAGGAATAAAAAAAAAAATTAAAAAAAAATCAAGAAATGATGAGAAAAAAAAAAAATTCATCTATAAATAAGCAAGAAAAAAAAGTATATACATATCTGCCATAGAGGCTCAGCCGTAGCCGATATTGATCTGAGTGGGGGGTGAACCCCTAAGCCGTTGTACATATGCAAATGCTTGTGCAACCGATAATTATGTGAATGAATTCAGTTCAATTTTCGAGTAATATGAAGATATGAAAATAAGAAATTCATTTAGATACGTCATAGGCAAAAGGCGCGGATTAACGAGAGTTGATTTGATAGAATTGAATGAATTCTATATTGAGAGCAAATTATGGATGTCATTTAGATAGAACGATTGGGCACTTTAAAGGTTATCTTATCTGGCAATACCGTCGAGTCAATAGTACTGTTTTTGAACTTAGCCAGGAAGGAAACGCCAAGGATTTCTTCTCGCCAAGCAAAGTTTCTCTAGTGATGATAGGGCTAATTCTATTGAATCTGCTTAATACCTGTAGGAAGAAAACCATTCAGCAGGAGCATTTTCAAAAATTGGTTTTGCTTACACTTGTGTTTAGCCTTTCTGTAAAGTATGAATGATTAAGGTCTCTAAACGGCCGTTCGATAAAGCTTCGCACTGATCTACCTGTATTTATGAAGAGCAAAATGTGCAGAATATATGAAAAGCCCTAAATCAACTAACATATATATATTTTTAAAATTTTTGTAGGAATCAATAAAATACTAAGCTATTAACGAATTCTTTCTTGAGAATGAAAGCTTCTTGCTTTTTTCAGATTTAATTCACATCATAGAATTAAATGTAACCAGCTTGTATAAATCAGATCAAAAGAGATAAGAGTGGGATTAAAAGTTAAAGAAAGAAGACAATTCAAAAAGATCGTTGGATATGATGATATAATTGTTGAACAATAGTTTGTGCAGACGGCTTAGTTACAGCACTCAACTTGGCAATGCATTCATAGCTTCCGGCGGGACCTCTTTTTCTACATCTGTGAAGTGCAATAAGGAAGCTGCTCTGCCAACATAAGGGGACGCAACCTGTATTCACAGAACAATCGAAAATTTTTGCTCTAATAGTTCAGCGGAGAATGATTTGAGCACATTGGATGAAAACCCATCACACACTAGCGCACTACTATATAATTAATGGGCTTTAATGGGCTTTAAAACTTGTAATACATCATTTTCAAAACAGACCAAATTCGGAATTCAAAAAAAAATTGAATTTGAGATTGAATGACGTTTACGGCATCACTTTCTTGTTTTGTTTTGTTTATCGAGGAATGTCTTTACCACGTAAAAACCCATTTCGTATCATAACGGAGCGTTCTTGTGTGATTTTGAATACATTCGAGTCTATGTATATTCTATATTACTATGGTTACTATGGTTATTTGTTTAAACGTTAAATCGATAAAGGTTGATATTATTTATTAAGCGGTCATCGAATGCCTGTGTTGCAAGCACCTAAAGAATCAAGCGATTCTTCTCCTGAAGAATCTATCCAGCACCCAATTGTGGAAGAACAAGGATGGGGTGGATTGTTAGCTATTGCTGCTAACGCTCAAGGACATTACCGTTTGCAAGCTCCGGCTTGGCCTTTAGTTCAAGCGCCGAATAATTTCGTTCAATGGGAGAATTTGAACAATGCTCGCAACCTAAATGGAGGCAATCCGCCAACACCTGGTATATACGATCGTGATATAGAAGATATGGAAGAAGAAAATCATTTTCCTGCATACGTGCACTTACTGCCGATGACCACAGCCCAACCAGCTCCTGAACCGACTATTGATGAGTTATTGGTACGATTGAAAGTTAAACTGTTTCCATATTTTCTAATTATTTTTTATTCGTTATCTATTTTCAGAGACGTGTCACTTTACGCACTGATTTGCATAATATAGAAACTGTTCGATTACGTGTCCTCTCCTCTCATTTAAGTCTTTCGCACTTGTCGTTGTTTACACCACGACTTCAGCATTTGGATCTTAGCGGCTCAGTGTTATTTTCTTTGCGCGATTTAGGTTTAGGTTTAATTCATTTATTACATTTAAATGTCAGCAATTGTGGCTTGAATAGTCTGGATGGTACTGTAGCGTTTCCATCATTACGCATCCTAATAGCCAACGGCAACATGATACAGCGTCTCGGTTCCTTAACTGACATGCCACTTTTACAACGTTTAAGTGTATGTCAAAATCGAATTAGCGAGTTAAGTACCTTAACTTTTCTAAGTTTGTCTTATCATTTAACGGAATTGGATTTGCGTGGCAATCCTGTCTGTTATAATGCCTTGTACCGCCTAACCATGCAACGTAATATACCGTCTTTACAAGTACTGGATGGAGAAACTATATCCTCGGATTGTAATCAAAGGCAAAGTGAAACAGCTCTGGCCACAGACAGCGATGAAATGTCGTCGATATCAAATGCTTCGACATCTTTACCTCTCCTCAATTCGAATGAACGCGAACATCGCGAGGAGCGCGTTAACAGCGCTCCTGTGACAATGCAAAGATCGAGTTCTGGTAAATTTTTAGTTTGTTTCAAGTCAAAAAAAAAAAAAATCAATCTTTCCTTTCGTTTTAATTTTTAGAATCATCGAGTTCACGTTGCAGTAGTTTATATACAGGTTCACCGGTTGTTGGGTCTGTTTTATCGTTGGCTAGAAATTCTAATCGTCAGCGCCGCCACGACGCCAATGCTTGGATTTCTCCGGATAATTCAAGTTCCTCTTTAGAATTTTCCCACGATCAAGCCACTGGTGTAGCATCTTCGCTATCATCTCAGGGCAGTTGTGATATCGATTTTACGCCGGTTAATGATAAATATCATTAATTGTTTACATTGTTGTTATTTGTTGTTTTGTTGGTATAAATAAGCGTTTAAGATAGATTAGCGCATTTCAATAAAGTATTGGAAAAGTCGTAAGATGTTACTAACATAATTTGCTTATAGCTAAAAACCCTAATCTAAGGCGAATAGTTTGTGAAGGTGAGAGTTTTCTTTTACCAAATAATATTATTTAAATTTGCATATCAGCAATATGGAGAATCCAATGAGTGGGATCCGGTTCTATTAATCAACTTTTTTTATATTAAAATACAGGCAACTTCACCTTATTCATACTCATGCAACACAACAATGGATCCTTAAAATCATAAAATTAAACAAACACTTTTTGGATCTAAGAACCTCTTCAATATTCGAAGACTTGTTTTCGAAGCACTTAACCCTGTGGACTTCTCAAAACTACCTTCAGTACATAATATGAATAAAATATTTATTTTTATTACAGCGAGTGGGCTAAACATTCAGTCCAGCTTTTAAAGACGAGCCTCTCTTTAAAGAGAGGCTCGATAGTTTTGATTGCTAGTGCTCTACTTCTTTCAGCGTTTCATATAATTTTTCCAAGAGTATATTTCTTATTTCTTATCCCATTTAGTTCGTTACCTAACCAGATCGGATAAACACTATTACTTTTCGCTTTAACGCAAGCGATGCTATGACATTGAGTATAGCGTGCAATTTTAAAATACCATTACCGGACGTTTCACTTCACACTTCACCAAACCTTATTTGCTAGCCATCTTGACTACTATTAAAGCTTTATAATATTTTTATACTGGGAGTTAATAGAGCTACATTTTCTAAGCATATGTAAATAGTTGAATGATAAGCATCTTCAAAAATGACGAAAGACCGTGAACGAGAAATTGATAAGTCAGAAGCATTATGAAATATGAGATTTGACACTTTACCATTTTGCATTTGTAGATGACCATAGTTCACACATACCAAAAGCAAAACAAGTAAAAGCACAATAGTGCTTGAGCATGGCCCATTATTACATACTCGACATCACCCTTCAGTTATCCGTTTATCGACTTTTGAAAATAAGACGTTGCATGGTAAGCGGCCGGAAAAATTGGCTCGATCCATTTGAACCATTCTCAATAAGTGTCGTCCTTGGGCTTTCCGAATCGAATGCTATTATAAAATGTAGGCCTATATTAAGTCCTTCTGGGTGTTGCATACATCCGTACGAGCTTAATATACCCTTATACCAAGTGATGTACGGTATGAAAACAGCAGTTATAATTGGAAGAAGAATTCAGTGAAATTGTGCGTTAAGCTTGTTCACGCCACCTCTAGGAAACGATGGATAAATTGAAATCGCCAACAACAACTGTATTATCACTAAATTGAACAAGTTTAGTAATTTCTTGAAGGAACGTCAGACGCTGCAAAATTATAAAGATATTTTCGAAGGCGGAAAAATATACAGGCATGTTACTTACATAGCAATAACGCATACACAAAAGAATTTAATCTTAGAACTATTGCCAAGTTGAGCAACACCCGATACGATTGACGTTATAAGTACGCCGTCAGCTTTTTTTATTTAATCTGTCAAAAGAGGGAAATTTCATGGGAAGGGCAGAGTTCATTCAGTTTCAGCATTGAAAATGTCAGGTTCGCATACATGTTCATCAGGTCTACAGTTCAAGTTTTGGATTTCGTCCCTCTGACATTTTGATAATAAATCAAAAAACGAATCGATAAAACCAGACTTTTGAAGTATAATCCGTAATACTAGCAGATATAGAGGGAATGGGTTCCGTATTCATCCGGAAGCATCAATCAATTTGCCGATAAAATGAAGGCTTTATGCTGTCGAGGAGGCCATTTAAAACGCTTGCATTGACATTCGCTACAGGACACCCCCTAACGAACGAGACCTAAAGAGGTAAGACCTTTAAAATGATTAAAGCATTAGATTAAAGGAAATAATTTAATGCTATTAGTATCCGGTAAATTTCATTGTTTTATAAATAGTTTTATGTCTAGTGCTTAACATAATTCGACATTTGTGCCTGTTAGATTAGACTTTAGATTAGTTAGATTTGCTTTCCGATTCACTAATAACTAACTACGTTGCTTTTCGTATTTTGTGTGTATTTTTATTGTTATTTTTTCGTAAAACAACATGTTTTGTGTAGGCTTTAAGTTTTTTACGTCAGTTTGCAAAACGATGACGTCACTATTAATGCGTGCTACTGTCTTTATTGATTGTCTGTTGGATTCCTTATTTTGTTTTGCTTCGCCTTTTTGGTGATAGAAGTAAATACAGTCAAAAAAAAAAAAAAAAAAAAAAAAAATTTATGGAAAAATGTTATGCGCAGTTGATGTTTGCATTGCAACAACGAGCGAGAGTATTTTTATATACGAATTATTCTTTCGATTTTTGAAGCATGTTTCACGTGGGATGCTTCCAATATAGATTTATCTACGTCCCCCGATGTATAGAGCTGGATTTAACTGCGCGGGTTGCGCGGGTTGCGCGGATTGAGTGGGTGGTGACTTTTGGCTATTATGAATGAGTTTGTGTTTGCGCGCGTGTGTATATGCGTATGTATGCGCGTGTACGTTTCTTTTTTGGCAATGCAATACATACCCTGACATTTAAATTTCTCAAAAAGATTATAACAATTTCATAGGACCGCTGCGTTAACATTTAAATGTCAAAGGTAGCAACGATTTCCGTTTAATGGCCACATAATGTCAAATAAATTTTTCAGATTATTCCCAAAATTTTTCTTTGCAATAATGTATGTATGCTTGCAAGTGATATCACCGTTATATACAATATGTGTGCATATCTATGTTCGTATGATTCTCGTAGCGATTTATTTGAATATATCATAGCATTATTATTATTTACGTATTTCATCAATACATTTTCATCATTTCAATCATAATTTAAGCGGTATGACTTTGTTTGTTGTACTATATACTATAATATTTTTACCGGCATTTAGCATTGTATTGTAGATCGTAAATACAATATAATGTGCATGTGGTAATGTACACGCGCGTAAGTTGCTTTTGAGATGCATACAGAAGAAGTAACAATTGTTCATGTAAAATTGTTGTTGTTATGCTTCTATTTTGTAACTATATTTTGATTTATCATCAAAATATTCTGTAAAGCTTTCCGATTGACGTCATACTGGAAGTGTGGGTCCTGAAGCACATGCGCTTTAAAAAAAAGAAAAGCACTTCTTCTTCGAAAAGTTCAACGGACAGATGGTAAAAAAAAAGGAGAACATTCTCATATAGTGGTTACGCGAGAAATATGTTATTAAACTTTTTGTTAAAACTTTTTCGAAACTTTTTTAATAATAAAATATAATTCTAAGACTTTTCTTTTGGAGATATTTGTAAAAAAGTCTCTGTCGATATGTTTTTAAGAAATTTTTTTTGCTTTTTTCCTGCCTTGTCACGGAAACTTTTTAAAAACAATTTCAACAGATAGATATTTACATTTGCAACTCGGAAATATAAGCCGACGCAAGCTATGGGCGTCATAAAAGTGGGCTTTAGGTTGTTAAGCAAATACAATTCATTATTGTATATATATATATATATATGTAGGTAGATATTATATATATATATATATATATATATATATATATTATATACGTTTAAGGAAAAATATTGCAAACAAATATATAATTGAATGGAGGCTTTGATTGCGATCTTTTGAGAGTTTGACAATTTTCAAGCAGACATCTGATGTCTTCATTTATAGGCGATCGAGATTACGCTTTAAATATTAGATATCTTAAAAAAGTATTGATGAAATTATTATTGCTTGTTTTCATGCTTGTGCAAACAAGTAAATTAATATAATATAATGATTATAAGTGTAAAAGGCACAAAATCGCCTAAAATACTTATCTGATAAAAAGTTTGCAAGCATTGAAGACAATTTTAATTAAAAAATAAGCGCGTGTGACCTAGCTAAGCTAAGGTATAAACCGTATTGCAATTCCCAAGCACCACCAGGCTGCTATTAACTTTTCATTACACAGATGTAACTATAATATAATAAACAAACAACACAAATTAAAATTGGAAATAAACATTTGTCGATATTTGTGTACTCATATATATATATATATATATATATATATATATATATGAGTACAAGTAAGATAGTACTGACGTCACTAAAAAAGCTTAACTAACTCATATGCAGACTAAAGGATGAAGACGAAAACCAAGTCAGCCATTTTGAGCTAAGCAATTAATGAAAAACATCATTCAGTTGCTTTTCAGCCGTGAACGGATGTAAACACGAAATTGAATAATTTTAATATTTGTAAAAAACCAACCACGGTGCGTTATTAAATGGTTGTGGTTTAACTATATCAATGTGTATGTGTGTGTACATATATATTTTTAAATATTTTTTATATATATTGATATGTCCATACAGTGCGGACATAAGGACCGATATTTTGTACTCATACAATCTTGTAACGACAGTGCGAAGAACAAGGCTTTTTAGGCGATAACATTAAACTTTGCCTATCGTATCGTAACTGTAACTGTAACCCAGTGAGAAAGAAATATAGGTCAAGTTTTAGGCAAGACGCATGGAACAGAGCAAAATCGGGAAAATTGAAATTAGATGAAAAAAATTGCTTGTCTTTCCTATCGTGAAAATAACTAAAATCAATTTCAAGCTTGATAAACGTAATTATGCACGAATATGTTTAACGAGTGTGTTTGTTTTTCTTTCTTAAATGTCGTTTAAATTGCTTGCAATTTATTTCAAATTTTCGTGTACGCAAAATGGTCCCTCATCGCATTGATTTTGATTTTTGCGTAGGCTCAATCAAATGACATTAAATGAAAGTAAAATAACTTAGTTATTTGAGAATAATAAAACACGCAATTGTAAATATTGCTTAAAAGGAGCAGCCAGATAATAGTAATTAGGAGAGCATTCTTTTCGAATCTAATCAATTTGTTTCCTTCTGTTTCAAAATTGTTGTTGTTTGCAAATTATGGAAACGACACCAAAAGTGCATCGTCACCGTCATCGACGGATGGAATCGCGTCATCGTCGTAATGAACGTCAGGTTAGTAACAATACCGAAGGCAAATCACCTGTTCGGCCCTCAGAAAATGTTAGGGAAGCAGAAGAAGGTGCATGTACTAGTACAACGGCCAGCAGCATGCCGGGAGGTGCAGACGCTCTTATTGCAGCAGTGGCTACGCGATTGTTACAGGAACATGAACGCCAAAATCATACGGAAGATGGAAGTTCAGCTAGTGTTGGTGTTAGTAGTGACGGCCGCGATTTATCTCAGACTACTCAGCAAACTGTTGTTCTAGTTAATGGCCACACTCCTCAGGAAAATGTACCAGAAAACTCCTCTGGACTTCCCTACATTAAAAACGATAACAACGAGCCCACAAAGTCCAATGACGGCGATGGTAGTGAATTGGCGGCTACCGGTCCACCAGATGGTCCGAGTAGTAGTCGAAATTCGTCGGGAGATGCTATGAGTCTACGAGAAACTCTACAGCAATTGCCACCCACAATTACCGCTCATAGACACCGCCGCACACTCTCGCCCCACTCACCATCTCGTCGAGTTTTAGAAACAGCTGCCGATGCCTCCTTTCATCGCGGTATTCTAGGTTTCATGGATCGGGAACTAAAACAATCTTCACCAACGCCTTCCGCTTTGAGCGCTGGTAGCGGTAACGGTCCTTTGAGTGGTGGTGGTGGTGGTGGTGGTAGTGGTGGTGGTTCTCGTAAACATCAATCACTGTCTGACCCAACAGCTAGTCCTGCTCAGCACTCAATCCGCTCCCGAAGCTCTCTCGAGAAGAGCCCACGCCGTAAACGCAGTAAATCTGAATCTAGGCGTAGACGGGAACGCAAGCTAATAGCAGCCGGCGAAATGGAAGTGCGTCAGGCAAATGAGACTCTAATGCGTTATCTGAAGCAGTGCTCAGAAATGAATGATGCTTCCCTGTCCGGTGAATTGGAAATCGATCAGAGTCTAGAGGAGCGACGGGTACATAGAAAAACGAAGTCACAAAGAGATAAGAGGGGGCATATAATAAGTAAGTAAAAAACCATTAAAATAAAATAAACATAAAAATAAAAGTAAAAAAGAAGAAGAAAAGTCTCAAAACACAAAAGTTCTTTGTAAATAATTTAAAATAAATGAAGAGGGGGCTTCAATTGCCTGCCAGTAGAGTGGTACGTGGAAATTTAAGCTACACAGTACAAGGCCCCACCACTCTTTCTTAAGCAAATTGAAAGACGATCAAGATATTCCGGCATTTTTCAAAGTTTAAGAATATTGAACCGCGGCATACTATACAATAAAAACTGATTTTTATTTATTAAGAGATCTTATTGAAACGTGCTCCATATTTGGGCAATGTTGTTGTAGCAAGCATTTTACGTATGTGAAAATTCGTCCGTCATTAAATGTCCTTTGATTTATATTCTTATTCTGGTTACTAAAGTAAGTTAAGTTAAAATGTTTGGTCAATAGTTGTGCGTAGCGCGATTGACATCTGGAAAGTTCAATGTGTCCTCAGTGTTACTTCCGTCTTTTTTTGTTTTTGTTGCTTGCATGAAAGTAAAACAACGGTTTTATTTATTGTTTATTGGTCTTCTTAGTCAAATATTCGTTAATTACACTTGTAAGTAAAATAGTTACCAAAAGTAATACGAGAGGTTCTCATAGTTCTTAGGAATACAATAAATACAATTTTTTTTTAGTCCTCAGCTTGTAATTATACTATTTTCATAGTATTCGTATGTTATTGAAATAAAGCTCGAATAACTACTTAATATATATACATATATATATATATATATATTTATGGATGATTTTTTTGTTTTTGTTTTTGTTTTGTTTGTAGGTAAACTATATTCAGCTGGCGGTTTATCTTCGATATTAAAGGAGCTTTCCGATGACATTGTACCAGCAGAAGGCGAAGAAATTTACAATCCATTCACACCGGTCGTCTCACCTACGGATGATACGCCCGCGCATATTGACAAAATATTTATGCAGACGTCATCAGGATATCGACCAGTTGAACACTGTTTTTATAAACACCACCATCACTCGTTTATGCGCTCGGGCGGCATGAGTGGTCGTGTGAGTGGCAGCAGTGCTGCTGCTGGCAGTAGTACGAGTCAAGGTGCTGCAGACTCAGGCAATGATGGTTGTGGTGGTTTGGCTGTAGATGGTGTTGGTAGTGGCGGCGGTGGTAATTATGCCGGTTTCGTTTTGCGCCCTAGCGCCAGTTACGGTGATACGCGTTGTCTTCTCGATGGTGAATATTGTAGGTGAGTAGTATGTGTTTTCTCATGTATGCGTTACGTCGATGAAGAACATGATTGTGTGGTGAGAACCAAATTATAAGGATGACAGTGTTTGCGTTGCTTAAATTCAAACGCTTTCTTTTCATTGGACTGGAAATATTTTTCGGAAAATAATCTTTATTTTGGATGAAGTTTTAAATGCCGAAAGGGAGCTCCATTCGAAAGATGGATTTTATAGAAAAATTTGATTATCCTCAGATATGTCTATCATCTTATTTTGTCCAAAAGTTTAAACATTATGTAGTTTAAACGCTTATAACATCGATTTTGAAGTTCTATTTCCTCTCTCTCTCTCTCTATCTCTCTCTCTGTGTGTGTTTCTGTCTTTCTTTTCATTCTTTGTTACTTTAGCTAAAATCTCTTTTTTATTATTGTTATATAATCAATTTAAAGACTAAAGTCTTAAAGCACAACCTTCTGAGGCTGTCGGCCTTATTAAGAACTCCACCGTATTTGAGATATGAAGCAACGGTTATCGAGTTCTTAATCGAGATCCTTGGTCCACTCGCCTACTCAGGTGGATAACATCCCCTTCCACAATCATTTGATTTTCCTAAATTCATTGGAAACTTAAACCACATTTAAACAACCGAACGCTCTAGTTTTAGACGTAACAAAAATCACACCTTGCTTAGGTTACGTTTCAGCGTTTTCCATGTAAGTTAAGTGTTTGCAGTTAAGGGCAAATAGCAAGCCCTAAAGGACAGATTCTTTTCGCAAACATATCTTCAAACCCTCTTCCACTGTCAATGATAGCCATTCAAATCAAAGAGTCCTTTAGTGAGCTTTAACAGCCGATATCTGAAACTCATAATGCATTTATCGTTAACAACTGAGATAGTGGAAAATATGAAGAATGCACATGCTTTTGCTATCAAGATAGATGTAAGTAATTATTGTCTCGACACTTTTGATAGAGAATGCGCTCAACCGAGCAATGCTTAGCGCTCGATATTAGGCTAAGATCTTGAATTATCGAATAAAAATTCGCTAATAATCATAAGTAAACGAAGAAAACTTTTTTTTATTGAAACGGAACACATACAAGGAACTAGAAATGTTTTCCTTTCATTCAGATCGATCTGCAATTATAATTGCATTCTGTCTGAATCTCTGCGAAAGATATATATTAAGTCAAAAAGGTGCTGAGATGAAAATTGGAAACTTGGGACTTTAATCGGCATAAAATAATAATTTTTTATGTTTTTTTTTAAATTTTAATTAAATATTGAATTTTTATTTCGTTATAGACACGAAGCTAAAACCAATATTGAACTAGCTTGCATAGCTCAACGGATTTGGTTGTTGATCGCAAATATATGCCACGGTTTGCTAGCTGGACTAGCGTTGGCTCATTTGCTGTTTGTCCTAACGAGTGACCCCACGGATTGGTCTAAAGTATTGAGTCTTGCAGGCGAGACTTTCAACGAACGACAGAAACAAGAGCAGCCGCAGCAAACCTCCATCACTATAGAATCCAGCATGAATTCGAATGAAAATCTTGAGATGGCAGCACTGGCTGTGAAAGCAGATTATGCAACATTTGCTAATATTTACATAAATACATTTTATTGTTTGGCTATAATCTGCATGGTATCTGTATTGGATCGGTAAGTGGGTAAATACACAAAGATATTTTCAATGGTTTGATCAAGCAAACGTAAATTACTTTGCCGCTTTAACAAAATTCTCATGAATATTTAACATTGCATATGAATGCTGCTTGCACACGTTTCAGGCTAATATTTTACTTTGTGGTTTGCTTCCCTGCTAAGTCAATTATTTTATTTTCAATTTTTTTTTTAGGGGAAAGGGAGGGGGGGGGGGGTAGATTGCAACACCCACTGAAGATTCTAAAAATTAAATTGCGCGCTGTAAACTGGGGTATGAGTTCCCAAATGAAAGAACAGCAGATAAGTTGTTTTGAACAATGAGTGATGGGAAGGTTTTCGCGACCGTTATACATAATTGAGTTTTATATTAAATATCCGATGCAAACTACAACAATATAGAGACGATTTGAAAATTACGCGCACTCGATTCCCCTTTTTCGTAAGCTTTTTGCTGATTAAAATTAATATTACTTTAAACAAGTTATCTTGGGATGATAAACGAATTATGCGCATGGAATGGAAACATGAAACCAAAAGCATCCAGAATACCTCTTGGCGGCTTCATGAATGTTACATATTCATATTAGGGTAAATTTCTTACTCACTTTACTCATGCCTGCATAACGAGCACAAAGTTTTCGTCACTCCGTCAGTCAACTGGTATTGAAACGCCTGGATCGAGTTTGAAATTATAGACGATCCGTTTGTCTATAAATACCAAAAAATTACAACTTACCACGATATTCGGATTAGAAATATAGCAGAATGCGCTCTTCTTCTATACAGACATAAAAGAACGCTACAAAGTCTCCATATTTTAAAATATTTTAAAATACGAATTCAATTGAGTTCTGTTTAAACTTCCCCGTGCCAGCGTCTGGTTTCATATTTTATACATATATCTATCGAACTGTTAGGATGACAATTCGAACCTTTTCCATAGATCAATCGTGAAAATGTGCATAATATGTCACTGAAACGATATAGAGTTGTTAAGGAGAGAAAATATTTCAAACTGTTTGTTGTTGTTGTTTAAATGGATGCAATCTACAGCAGGTATATTAATCCCAAATTCACGCACACAAATTATGATAATTATCGGATAGTACGATCGACTTATTGAGTAGCTTAAAATTCATAAAATTGATTGCGATTTTTGCATATTTACCTAAGTTGTTGCTTGGTATGAAAGAATCGCTTTAAGGCGCATTGATTTATTGCTTATTATCTTTAAACATGGCTTCGTAATAGGTGTTATGTAAAAAATGTTTTTTGTTCCCTTTTTTGCTTTCATAACATACGTTCAGGAAAAATGTAGTGTACACTGTATGACATTTGACATTTTGTATATGATGTTCGCATTATGTGCTCATGCAATCACATATATCAAGTATGTTGTTGGCTATCTGGGATCCGTATACTATACCGAGCACAAAAGGCAAAAACAATAACAGAATATATTCTTGTATTTATTTATATGACATTTGCTGCATGTTTATAATGACAATGATAATGTTCTTGTTATTGTTTTTCTTTTTTTATTCATATTCCTTTTATTTGAACTTGTTAGGTATGGCTGGAATTTGTTCGTATGTTCTTTATAAACAGCTTATGTGCATCCGAGATGCCAAAGATTCTATCGAGCAGCAAATATATTTAAGTAATTCTGCTGTGACTAACATGTTTTACTGATGGAAATATTTGACCTTTCGTGAATTTCATTATGAATTTTATGTATTTTTTTTTTTTATTTTTTATTTTCTTTTTGTATTATAACCATTACTCGTTAAGGTTACATTGCATGTATCTAAAGCTTGGTATAGAGAGCTCTATATATATATATATATATATATATATATGTAGTTAGCTAGTTTTTAGAGTGAATTTCGACGATTTCTTGACATTTAGCTGAACAACATTTTATTGTAATCAAACTTCACTCACCTTCGCTATTTATATCGCAAAGCAAATGTCAAATGAAAAGTAAACAAGTGTAAATGACTTTCTTTTTTTATCGTCTCACTAATTTCGTAACGCAGCATGGATGTTTGTCGTTGGTCTTTAGCGAACGCCAGTGAATTAATTTCGTTTCGCTGGCTGATTATCGCTATGATTTATGTAGCGACAATAATATTAACTATTTGTTCCGATTCAATAGATGAGAAACTGTACTTAAATAATAATAATGCCAACGTAACTATATCCCGAGAAGAGATTGTAAGCATTTCTAAAAAATTATTATAATTAATATTTAATTATATTTAAATGATAATTTCTGTCTCTTACCTGGCAACAGATAAACAACAGTATTTTATCTGTGTGGAGTAGCCTATCAACAGCTCGTAGCATTGGCGCAATTTGCGGTTGGATTATGATCGGTTTAACACCGCACGAAGACTTGCTCTACGATCATCTTGTGGACTTAACTAGATATCAAGTGACAAATAATTAAGAGACAACAAACCTTAGGAAAATACAAAAAAAAAAAAAAAAAAAAAAAAACTACTAAATAAGAAGGAGCGTGTAGTTATATTGTAAATATTTGAATACAAATGAGAGACCTTATAAAGTATACGCTTTAGTTTCTAAATTTATTTATATATGCATATATACATACATACATACATACATACATAGAATCATAAATACATACGAATACATTTGTATAATTTACAGTTCATTCCTTCTTTAAGCTTTACCACTCGAGATCACCGTGTTTCCCTAACATACTCCTTTTGAACATAAAAAAGTGATTAAATATAAAGGAGAGCTTATATCCGGTTTGCATTAAATTAATTAGAATCTCAAGCTGCATTCACCCCCAAGGCGAATCTTAAATAATCATACCAAGCGCAGAAATAGCGAAAGATTTCTGCGCTCCTTTTCATTTTTACATATCGAGTCTTCCTTAGGCTCTATGGAATGCAACGTTATCCTATTGTAACTATGTGCTACAGATACCCAAATTTGATAATTTATTTGAAAAATATTATCGGCCAGTTGGGCGCAGTAAAGACTGTCATAAATTGTCATGGCCTTGTCTCGTTTGTTGGAAACGTAATTGCAATCTTATAACATTTTTCTCTACTTATCGGTATTTTTATTTGCCCTCTTTCGTGATAGATTGCTCATTATAGAAAAAATTGAAAAGGAAAACTGAAGCTTGACATGTATGTCATGTTGTTTCCGAAATGCTTTGGTCATAATCCGCCCCAAATACTCTTACAAGTAAAATTCAACATAAAAGTCGTTTCGATCAACTAACTTACATCCTCATAATTAATGAAATAGGTTTACATGTTTAAGACAACAGGTCAGGTTCAGCCAGATGTCTTTATGGGTTTTATGTGGATGTCCGCCCGTAGGCTCTACTGCTTAGTGATCGCTGGCGTAATAGGTTTTTACAGGTATACCCCTCATAATAATGGGTCTCACTACTCTCTGAATACCAAATCGATCAAAAGTATATGCGCATTGTACCGATCTAGGAATCTAAATATTTCGAGTTCCTGTATATTTTGATTTACAGCAATCACTACAATAAGTCGCGAGAGGTGGTACTCAGGGAGCAGACGTTCTCCACATAGACATTTTCCAAACTATGAAAACTGTATGCACTGTTTTATTTCCAAAGAATTCCCCTTAAATACCGGAATATTACAGCATTCTCTTCCTAATATTCATTGCGAATTCCGGATGCGCGACAGGAGGCCCTACTTATTCATTTGTTGATGATAGCACTTTGTGCGGCCCGATCCTCTGTAAAAAAAAAAACGACCGAGCAATATCAAGGCACAAAACGAGTGACATGTTAAACATCCATCTTATTATATATGTAAAGGGTATCAGGAAAATAGGTTAGTTGCAATATTATCAAAACACAATACTGCCGGTGATCGCGTCAACGAAAATGATGCAGGTATAGAATGTAGGAGAATCGTCAATTCCTGCCATGCGGAACATGAGCATACGAAATAACGTCCATTGGACAGCATACGTTTTTTGAGAGAAGGGCATTAAAAGCTTAAGACTTTTTAAAGCGGTGCAAAAGTACGTTGGCTGATATATGCGCCATTTATATCGCGCACGTATGTCTGCAAATGGAATAGAATTCGCGTGCCGGTGTAGAAGCTTTCAAGTCTTGCTTGGCAATCCTCGAACGGGAATATATCAGATGATCATTTATAACAAAAACAGCGATCTCCAGACTAGGCAGTTCCGTAGTGTGCGTTTTATGGAGCCAAAAAGAAACCTCATTTAAATGTATTACAGGACGATACCTTACTTAGACTATGCCTTCTTTAATTTCCGTTTCCAACACGTAAACATTCCTTCCATTTTCGCTTCTTCTCTACTTATTATCCTTTCCAGCGATCATCATATATGCTCGTATAGGACATATTCGTCGAACGGCTAGCCTCAATATGACCGTGTTCTTTAACTTTACTATAACTTAACTTAATGGCCTACTTTAGCTTTAGCTTGTTTATGGTAGCTTCATGTGCAGCTCGCGCGCCATATCGGGTTAATGAATTTGTTGAACAGAGCGTTGGTATAAAGTTTTCTCTTTATTAAATGCTTGTCTTCGCAAATAGCTGTAACAAAATTAAGGTCAACGCTTTGAATAACGCTTTAGACATCTAACAGGTCGCAGTTTTATTTTTTGAAATAAATCGGAGTTTCATCAAGAATAATCATCAACAATAAATTGCGAAAGAAATGATTCTCGATGCACTTGAAAAACATTATGAATAATAATGGAGCATGCGCGAAGCAATAAGAATGAAGTGAAAATACACCCAAAAAAAAAAAAAAAAAGCAGCAGATTAAAAAGAATAAAAAGTATTATTAGTTGATTTGTCCTGGAGCTACTGTTGCATGGCCTTGAGTTCAATAAGCAATACCTGGGTTTTCTTCAACGATAACGATAATAAAAATATTGCGAAAACTTGGACTTGGAAAAATGATTATTCACTAAAGGGATATAAGCTTTCTGTGCACAGACCTGACGAACTAAGTAAATTTAAAACAATTCACTTAATTATTTTGCTAAGACGGAGGACTCTCTTGCTTTACATCGTATTTCATTTAACGGATATTTGTTTTCTTTTTTATACATGATCAATCTTTAGACTTTAAGTGAACGCGTGCATAAAAGCAAAACAACCTAACTAAAGCTTTAAACAATGAAATAAAAAATTATATGCCGAAAAACCCTTAAAGTTTTTTAATAATTTAAAAAAAAAAAAACAAAAAAACAAAAAAAAAAAAAGAAATATGTAAAAAAAGGTTATATTAAAAATGTTTAGTAAAAATTTCAAAATGCCCTTCAAAGGCCGCTAGAAATCAATTTGATTGACAACAAAATAAACAAAAAAATTGTTAAACTAAAATACATTATAGTTAAGATAGTAGAATTTAATAAATCGTAAACACGTATGCTTTTGATCCTTTCTTTTTATCTTTTTAATCTTTATTTTTCGTTTTTTATTCTCTTTTGTTGCTTATAACCTATAGTCTCATAATAATGATGTGAAATTTAGAAAAAAATATTTTTTTTTTTTTTTTTTTTTTAAACGGCATAGAAGAACAGAGTAATTGTACAAAATTTTAGAAATCGTAGACAATTAAAAACGCTTCCCCTGTCTTTTTTACAACGGAAAGTTACAGAAAGAAAAAAAAAAACAAAAAAACAAAAAACAAAGAACAAAAACAAAAAAAAAAAAAAAAAACAACGTATTCTTTTTTATTATATGGAAAAAATATTTGCATATAAAGCGAAAATATGCAGATTTTTCTAAAAACAAATACGAAAGAAACCTCACGTATCAAAACTATTTATTTGTTTGTTCGAAACAATTGAAAAGGACATAAAAGATTAAAAGATTTTTTAATGAATTGAAAAACTATTCATTTGTTTTTTTTGGTGTTTTTACATGAAACGACGAAGAGCTTTATTTAACCGAAGATAGCCATCATCCCTGCTAAATATTATTTAAACAATAATAATAGTAAAAGCTATTGTTAATCCTGGGTGTGTCTGTTAAGCGACTCGACCACTTGGTTTTTAACCTAAACCAACCTTACTTCCTTTTATTCTTTGCATTACCGGCTTAACTATGTTCGGCTGAGATTATCTTTATCGAAAACTAGGCATCAAGTATTTCTTGTCTGTCTCTTATCATATTATAATCAATAGTTGTCTTGATGACAATATCCCTAACTTAAAGTCTGGTCTTTGGAATTAAACTAAGCGTGTCTATGCTTAGTTTTAGTTTTTATGTTTTCAACTTTGGAAATTTTGAAAGTTCCAAGAACAGATGTACGAACGGACAGACGAATAGTTTCAAAATTTTTAACGCTAGTATATATGGCAGAAAATCGCAGATTGTGTGATATATGGGCTTTTTGATTTTACAAACGGGCTGCTAAGACTACACTTACATGGTGGATATAAAAATATTTTATTGTTTTTAATAATAAAAGCGTCGAGTGTTTTGAAAACTTTTTAAATATTTTCTCATTTTATTCTTAATGCGTACATGCATAGATGTATAACAAATAATATTTTTATGTTATTATTTGCAAAAAAGAAAAAAGAAAAATGAAACATATATATATATATTTATAAACTCGAAAAAAAATTATAAATCTAAGCATTACAAATCTTATTAATATTGTGAGACTTGTTTTATGCAATAATTATAACCAATACTTATTAATATATGTAATAATAAATATAAATGAAATATATATATATATATATAAAAATACAGGATTTATATAAGAATGATAAATGAATACTTGTGTGTGTTATATATAAATATATATATATATATATATATATATATATATATATATAAATATACTCATACTCATTTTGTTTATTAATCATGCATTAAAATATAGTATAGATATAATAAAATATATAATTCTATGTAAGCATATATACACACATATATATGTATATGAATATTATAACATACATACATACAAGCAGAGAAATATATATATATATTCAGCATATTGAAAAATGTTATCAAAGCAAAAAAAAAAAAAATGAAGTTTCATTTAAAGCCGTCAAAATTTCCAATTAATATTGTTACGGAAATCGCAAGTCCAGTTGATTCCAGCTAAGGCATTTTCTAGAAGCGAATTTCATAACAATATTTACGGTATTACAGCTGAGAGAAAATATATCACTTTTAACTTTTAATGAATGAATGAATGAATCGTTTCTCTTTCCTTCAATTCATGCAGCCCTACCTCTGTCTGTCCGTCAGAGGTATGCCGTCGCGTGTTGAAATCATAATCAAAAATGACTTGAGTACTCATTTCAAGGAGAAAATTTAAGCTCAAAATCAATTAATTAGGGACAAATATTAGGACGCGTTCATCAATACATACATATATATAAACCTGAATGGGTAGATGGTTAGTGCTTTTATGCAAAGAAATGATATTAATGATTATCTTGACCGCTGCCGCAACTTTCCATGCTTTGGATTTAGCGGAACAAATCCTTGTTCCATCATGCGCCGCCATTTACTGAAATCAAGCAGAAAAGGGAATCTTTTGTATTCACCATATATTCACCATTATCTC